TGTATGGAGTATGAGGCGAGATTTTCTTCTCTGGAAGCAAAGGTTGTGAATAATTTCAAGATTATTTTGATCATACTTCTAGCACTAGAATATGAGAAACAATATGGAACATATTTGGACGAGTTTTTCAAGTCAACTGCACATCCACATGCCGCCAATAAAATACACATGATGTGAGAAAGAATAAAATATGAATTTGATTCAGAAGAAGTCTTAGCCGATAAGGTAAAAGAACAAATGAAGAAAATCAATGCTAAGTACAAGGCGGATGCGGATCGATGCAGGAGAAGAATTTTTTTTTATCTATGAGCTACTATTCAAGCAAATATAAGCTCGGGATCAAGCTTCTTTCAACAAGGGGAGGTTGATGTAGGACACTTAACGGATAACTTCACGGAGGAGTGGGATAATCACGAGCTAAATGCCGATTCATATGTATTATTGACTTCCGTAAAGAAACAATCATATCTTTCAATCCGGAAGGCAGATTCTGACATATTATATATGTAAATCGCCTATCTCGACGAGACAGAGCCAACCAAATTGTCATATTTTTAAAATCTCATAAAAAATACCTAGTTTTTATGAAATTCATTAATAATCAGCTTTTATGTTATTTTAGTACTACATTTGGAGTCTATTTAGGTTAGGAAATAAATTCAATGTTAGAGTTAAATTAGATTAGGAAACAAATTTAATTTTGATTCATGCTTTGTTTCCTCTATTAGAGGGAGTCTCTTTTGGGTAGGATTTGATACTTTCTATTTCTTTGTAATTATAGTCTTAATAGGAGTATTATTTGTTATTCTATTTAAGAAGAGGCATGTAACACCAAAGGAATAATATTTTATCAATGAAATTCCTCTTTAATATTTTCTTCGTGGATTCGAAGTTCTTCGTGGATTCGAAGTTCTTCATGGATTCGGAGATTATTCTTTGTGAATTTAGAGAACAACCTTTGGTAGATTTCAAGATTTATTACTTCCGTGCTACGTTAAGATGGGCTTCAAATTCCAGTAATTATCTAAAAGTATTTAATCCTTTTATTGGCGTGAGGATTCCATCTCGTGCTCTCCATTGGATGCAGGAGCCCCCTAACCAAGCCTTTCTTGCTCTCAAAAAATAAATAAATAAATAAATAAATAAAAAAGAGAGAGAACAACAAGAAGAATACATATAAATAATAAGTTTCCTTCACAATTAGTAGTCTTCCGACTTCACAACTTGATGAATTGTTTTCGTGTACAGTGTATCCAATTCATTCAACGACTCTGCATTTGTCGATCCATTGTTTCTCTTTGCGCAAGGTACCTGCCTTAATTAGTTTTGTCTGATATTATTCATTTTCCTGTTAGGGATACTTGTACTAAAAAATTAAAATAAAAAAATTTGTGCAAATTGCTTTGTGGAATTAGGAAAATCGTTTGACTTTCTTAATGAACACCGCGCCATTGTACAGCACCACTCCAATCTGTTTTGTTTGTTATTATTAGCCTTATCTCCATTTGTGGATTTCAAAATTACTTATTATTTCTATTTTGTTTGCAGGACCATAATTCATTTTTTAAACATTTTATATAGCTCTTTCACGTGGATTTGTACGCTAAGAAGCCAGACTAATGAGTAACCTCCTAATCAAGCTTTAGAAAATCTCAACTCACACGTTAAGCATGTTTGTCTTTTGCTTGATAGTTATTGTCACGTCTCTAATCTCAATTATTAATCATGCAGTTAATCATCTAATTGATAACCCTTAAAAAAAAACCTTCTCTTCAACCACCACAACTAGAATCGCGTTCTTTTCTCTTTTGCGTGGCGTCCCATCCTTCAAGTTTGACTATTTTATTATTTAATGTTGCAAGAAGATTTGAGAAAGAATGGTCAAGAAGGAGAGTTAAGCTATTTACTGCATCTAAAGTGAATAAAGATGAAATTAGTTATTCTGTTAAGTAAATTTGTCTGTCAACCCTGGAAAACAATAGAGAAAAGAATGAAAATGCGAGTCATTGTCTCCTTCTTCCTCAAATTGACGTTGACGCTCTAGATGCAGGGGATATACGGGAGTTCGTCACTGGTTGATTGTGTTGGGGATTTTAGTTACCCTACTGCGAACTCCGTAGTTAAAAATTAATCCACAATCAAGAATGTTGGGCGCAGAGTCACGCCCACCGTCGCGGAAGCGATATCACCTGAGAGATAGCCCTGGCCTTTTGTTGTCACAAAAGCACAAATCAACCTCTATATTCTTGTTTCTCAAAGAAAACTAGAATAGAAAGTAAAATATTTCTACAAAGTACGTGAAATATGCACTCTTTCTCTCATCAGTTCTAGGACTAAAATGTCGAGGGAACCTACAAGCAATAGCCAACACCCAGAAAACAATAAAGACACGAGACTTTACGTGGTTCGGCAAAATTGCCTACGTCCACGGGAGGGGGTGAGGGGAGATTCCACTATGAGAAGAACACCGACGACTTATACAATCCACAAGCTCGTCTCAAAGAAAAAAGATCTAATTTTTACCCAAAAAAATGTACCTCTCTTTTGTAAATCCCTCTTTTCCTCTCCTCAAGATCTCAAATCTAAGCTTCCTGAAAACTCCTCAAAGAGGCCGACTAACCCTCTGCCTTTTCTGTGTTTTTCCACGCCCTGCAGCCGGCAAAAAAAATTCCCCCACGGCTGAAAACCCTAGCAGTCATAGGTATTTATAGGAGATTAAAGAAAAAAAACTTGCTGCACATATGATTCGGGTGGGCCCGAACTGCTGCACCGCTTTTCAATCACTCCTGCACCGCTTCTTTCACAATCACATGGGCCCACGCATTCACAAAGAAGAAAATAAAAAATAGTCGCCATCAAGAAAGAAGAATACATTAGGATTTAAAATGGTTCGGTCGACGAACTTCGACTTACATCCATAGGACAATAACAGGAGAAATCCACTAGTATCAAGGAGAACTATAAGAGGAACCCCTTAAACTCTCATATCCCAATCTCTCAACCTCACATACATAATCGACTCTTATATTCTCTCAAAAACCCTTTTATTACAATATTTTGGATGAACAAAGAATATGAAATCATCTCGCAACCTTGCACCTTTTGCAAGGATAAAGACCGTGAAACTCTCTCCTCTCGACACTATTTTTGAATCTAGTTTACACCATCTGCTGACCTAGATTATAAGAATAGTGGCTCCATCCTTGTCTCTTTTATTGTTTTTCCTCCAACAATAGAATACTATATATAGGGAAGCCAAAACTCTATCTTTAGCCTAACATTCTAATTAGAGTAAGATACAAACTCCTTATCATGATGGGATCCAAGCTCCTAATTATGTAGTCCTCTAATCTTATCTAACTCTCATTAAGTTATATAAATGATCAAAAAACACAATTCCTATAGATTGGTGCAGTTAGTCTTCTGTTGTCGATGAAGATGTACATACAATCACTAAACTTATGATGTATGATTATTAAATGTTAGGGTATTTAAATTCCGGCATGCATATAGATCAATCCCATTGCATGCGTAGATTATTGGGGTTCAACATCAATCATAGTCTTTTTAATTGTTCAAGAATAGAGAAAACTATTATCACTCATAATAAAGGGCTAAATTAACTAGTGTAAGGAGGTAAACAATTAACATGTGATTTGCTTTATTCTATGACTGGCTTATTTATTTACTTTTTATTTTATTTTTTATTCCCGGTAGGTTACGCTTTACCTTTCCTTCACCTTTTAATCTGTTATCAAATAAAGTACATTCCCCCTCTTGTCTTGTCTTTTTCATTTCTATTCTTGTCAAAACTTTATTCTTGTTTGAACCTGATCGAAATCTTTTGGAGATCGCTATATATTTCATAAATTCAGCAGCCTTTTGTTTTTGAAACTCGGATCGAGTCACCAAACTTGAATCTTGTACATGGATATCTTTGTTGTAGAAAATTACTTTATGTGTTGGACGATATCTATGTTGTCCGGCTCTTTTTAAAAAATACAGTGAACTTTGTAGTTCTCATTGCCACCTTTTCAAGGAGATATGGTGAAGAGATTTGACTAAACAAGGTTATTTATAATGTAGGCATATCAATATACAAATCTACAGATTTTTTAATCCTTAAGAAGAAAAGTTTATATGAAAATTGAAATACAAATAAGATGGTTTAAGCATTAATCCCTCTTTTTTATAATATTTCAAAATTAAAATAAAAGAAAATAATGCCACTACAAGAAATACGGTATTTAACGACCAAAATTAGTAAAAGGATCAGTTGACCGTCGTTAATGTGCATATAATAACGACGGGGTTTTAAAGCCTTCGTCGAGTGATTACCAATAATATATAATGATGTGATATGGGATAACGGTTTTCAAATCCCTTTATTAATTTAATCCTAATACCGTCATTATTGGGTCTCCTTAAAAACGAAGGGATCCATTACCTTCATTAATCATAACTCCTAATCATAACAGGATTAGTAATCAAAATTAATATGAATAACCCGAAACCCAAATCACCGTCTAACCGCACATATATATATTAAACTAAACCTAGATTAATTAAAAATTATACTATTCTCTCTTTTTAATTCACCTTCAACAAAACCCTCGCCGCGCCCCTGCCCTAGCCACGCCCCTGCTCCTTAGGGCCGCGTCTCGCTGCTGCAGTGCGTTTGACTGCTCCAGGCGCCGATCCGTTGCTGCGCTGAGTTAGCCCGGCCGCCAACGCCGCTGTTTTCCGACGCGCCCGCCGCCGCTCCCGCCAATGCGCCCTGCAGCTGCAACTCTCGTGCGACGCGTACGCTCACGGTCTCACCGTTAGCGCATCGTCGGTCGTCGTCCGCCATGCAACGAGAAATCACCTGACAAACTCGTCCCGCGCCTTCGTCGACGTCAGCCCAAGGCACCGCCACTTTCTCGTTCTAGGCTCCGTCGCCGCTCAGGGAGTAGCCTCGTGCTTCTCTCGTCGACGCCCGAAATTTAGGTCTACAAGCTTTAGCTGTCGTCGACGTTCCGCACCCCAGCAACGTCATCGCCCGACCAACCTCTTCCCCCCGTCGTTGGCGTCACCCCAGCAACGTCGTCGCCCGCACGTCGTCGCCCAGCAATCGTCGCCCCTGCAACGTTGATTAATTCGTTGTTTGGTATATTTTCACACCCTTTTAATCAGGAGTTTGGGGATGAGTATCAGGTTAATTTCACACCCTTTATAGTGTTTTTAAGTTAATTTTGCTAATTAATTAAAGGTGTAATCTTGGTAAAGGTTAATTTTGTCAGTGTTGTGTTTTTCCAATGCTAATGTTTATAAAACTTCGATGTGGCTTCAAGATTAAATGACTCTTTTTCTTTCTTTCAATAAACTACTTATTTTCGTGTTGTTGCCAATAATGCTGGATGCTTATATATTAGGAGAGTCTAATTAATATATGTTGCATTGGTGAACTGTGTAATGTTGTTTGTTGTAAATATGAGGAATTTTAACTTTGACAACGCATGGAATGTTTGTATAGGATTTATGATTGATGTTTATGTACCGAAGCTGTCATTTTTGTTGGCTTAAGGGATAATTTGTGTGCACAAATTAGTAGAACTTATGAATCATGAGTAACAGAGAAAGGAGGACTAAGAGATGTTGATCAGAAGTTGTTAAGAAAACGACAGTGATTAACTTGGTGGAGGAGAGAGCTTAGTACAACTGAGTGGAAGAGTAGGATTCGTGTAGCCAACCCTAAAAAGTTTGGGATGAAGCTTTTGGTGGTGTTGTAATGAATATTCTGTGTGCCCTTCCCTCAAGTAATGTGCTATTTAGTATAGATTGATAGAATGCTCTTAGATGCTATTTCAAGTGACTTCTGATGTTAATGCATTCCAAGTCTTGTGACTTCTCCCCCGTTGATTTGGTATAATTTTGCAGTATGTTTTTATGGTGTTATTGTATTGTCAAATGTTTGGTATCAATACTAGTAACGATGTAAGTACTGTTGTCAATTGATTTGATGTTTCCACATTATTTTCTATTTTCTGCTGCCTTTCTCGTCTTTAATTCTAGTTTCTTTATAGATGTGCTGTCGGATTTTTGATGCACTGTTAAAGTTTTCTTTATCGGTTTCATGATTTTCTAGTGCTAATGTTAGTTGAGGTATAATGTTTTGCATAGAAGATATGCTACATTTTCATTATGTTATTTTTCTTGCATAAAGTTTCTTAATCGCTAATTTAAAATTATTGTTAGTTCAACTGCATTTATTGGTATAGGCCTTTCATGTAAGTTGATATCATTGGTTTTCAAGGTGTCCTTTTCTGTTGTTGAAATTTCCTATAAAAAATCATGTTGATAAAAAGCTACTGCCACAGTATATCTATCTGGTGTAGGTTGATTTGATCATTTAGTTAGCTCTTTGTTGTCTTTTTTAATGATTTTCCCTTTTAATGTTTGTCATTGTCATCTTGGTTCTGGCATTTTGGCATAGGTCTATTTAATGCTTGGATAAAGTATTATGTGATTCAAGCACTATACTATTAATTTTTTTGTCAATATTGATAAGATGTGATTTTTTTTCAATAGGTCTTTGTAACTGATCTATGGACTGATCATACTCCCTGGCCATTTAATCAATTGCCAAGGAGTTATAACTTCTTGGTAAAACATGGAGCATTGTGGAAAATGACATACTATGGAAGTGCTCCAAGATTAGTGCATCAGCCACATTTTCCAGCAACATCTGCTTTTATAGCTCGGTAAGTATATATTTGGACCTGAAAGGAGTGTTTTTCTATTCAAGCTGGAGCACCATTCGTAATTGTAGTAACATCTCAGAATTTCCAAGTTGAACTTTCAGTTCTTTGCGAAAATTTTAGAGGCTGTGAGCATGAACTTGAAGCTAATTAGGTGTATAAAGATAACAATCTTGATCTTAATAATATGCATACTAGTTCTAGTCGGTTAGTAAACTACTTTGTAAAAGTGCCCATTTATGATGGGAGTTAGGATTTTTACGGAACTTCGAGGGCTACGGTTTCTTTAGACTTAGAGCATGTTTGGCAAGTGGCCACTTTTGTGGCTTGTAGGCCACTTCGACATGTTTGGCAAGTGGCGTATTTTGATGTATAAGACATTAAAAACATAAGCTGGGGTACCTAGCTTATTTTTTGGTGGCTTATAACCCACAAGGTTTAACCAAGTAAAGGACCAATATACCCCTCATCATTTTAGGAAATTCCAAGCGTCATTTCTCTCTCTCCAATCCCATTAAATGTATTTTGGTCATTTTAATCCACTAAGTGGATCGTAGTCTACTAAATTTACCAAACACTTTGGCTTATAAACCACTTGGCTTATAATCCATTTGTGGATTGTAAGCCAAGTGGATTATAATCCAAAGTTGCCAAACATGATCTTAACAACAAAGAAATGAAATCACTGGCTTCTATATGTTCACATCAACGTCAAATGATATAAGGCTTCATCGTTTTACATGAAACAATCACATCACTATTCTTTATCACTCCTCAAATAAGCTGTCAATTTTCTTTTACAAAGAAGATTATCTTTTTATGTTAAAAGGTGGCTCGACTCTTAAGAAACTAATGCTTGATACATTTTTAAGAGAAGCTTAAATATGTAAATAGAATATGTCTTTAAGTTTGATAATGATGCATTATATAGTATTAACATAAGAATTTAATTTTTATATGATGAAATTGTCCAAGTCAAGCAAGCAAACCCTTCACTTTCAGACATTGAGATTGTTGAGAAAATCTGGGGGAAGCAATCTTATGGTCACATCACTGTATTTGGTGGCAGGACTACTTTGAAAGATTTGAGAGGACCGCCCCCTAGTCGATCTAATCTGGAAGCACGGGTTATAGAAGAAAAGGGGAAAAAAACCAGATGCTTCACCAACGCTTAGATGAGCAGGAGCAACAACAACAAAGGATGTCTGAGTTGGAGTCACAAGTGAAAGCTATGCAAGAACTTTTTTTTAGACAATCACCTTCATTGACTCCTCAAACTCGAGAACGTGTGCAGGACTAGGTAATTATTTTTTGTAAAATCTCTTATATACTTTTATGATTGACTACTTGCACTAAAAAATGTGATTTTTACTTAATAAGATAATATTTGCTTAATTGATATTTCTTAATTATGTGATTTTTTTTAATTTTTTAGGCTATCCATGCAAGATTAGGAGGGGGTAGCTCGAGTCTTTTTTTGACGATGATTAGAGATGAAAGAATGTGTCTTCTCCAAACTTTTATTTTAATTTGTTTCAGATAGTTTCATGTATTTTTCTTTGGAACAGTTAGGATATTAACTTTTGTTATTAGTATTGAATATTTGAGGATGGTGGAATTTTATTTATTGATGTTATTTTAGGATATTAACTTTTGTTATTAGTATTGAATATTTGAGGATGGTGGAATTTTATTTATTGATGTTATTAATGAATGAAATTTTGGTGGAATTTTATTTATTGATGTTATTAATGAATGAAATTTTTATTTTTCCTTTTATTCATTATTGGGTGTTTTTAATATTTTTTTGTTGTGAATCTTAGTGTCAGGTTGAGAATAATATAATAGTTGCCTATGAATGAAAAAATAATTATTAATGTATATTAGAAATTTATAGTCTACAATGACGGTTTTATAAACCGTATTTTGTTCATCAACGAAGGGAAATCACCGTCGTTGATGGGTTACTAATTACCCATTATGAGGACTTTTATGACGGTATCCAACCGTCATTACTTAGTCTTCAACGATGGGAAAATATCTCCGTAACTAATGGTAACGACGGGAAAAATATCCCGTCACTGATGGTAATGACGGGAAAATATCCCGTCACTGATGGTAACGACGGAAAAATATCCCCGTCACTGATGGTAATGACGGTGATAATTACCGTCGTAAATATTAATGACGGTAATATGTTCCGTCGTTATAGACTCTATAACGACGGGTAGCATTTCCCTTCGTGACCCTTTAGCGAAGAGGGCTTCAACGACGGGTGACGAAGGGATTTTTTCCCGTCGTTAGCATACAATAACGAAGGTTTTCAGCTCTTTAACGAAGGGAAATCCCTTCGTTAAAGATGTAATTTCTTGTAGTGATGCATAACTTAATAAGTATGTGGATGACTTTTATTTTAAAATTTTAAATTCAACTCAGCAAGAAGAGACACATGAACACTATAACAATAAAATTTTTTTTTACATATAAAGCGGGGTTTATACCATTTCCTTTTTCATCTCGATCCTTTCATATAGTTTAATTTACTCTTTTGCTCATAGAATAGTAGATCCAGATTTACTTTATTTATAATGACTCGCTTGACTCCTCTATCCATTTAGGATTTTAGTTCTCATCTTAATTTGATGATCAAGTTATGCTACAACAATATAACATCTTCATGTGTAAACACTGCTAATACCTATCCTCCCCATAAAAAGTGAAATATTGATAAATTTCACTAAACCCCAACAAATTTGCGCGTTTGACATTAAGTCTCATATATCTTTGAAATTCTCACTTAAGCTCCTCAACAACTTTTGGTAGAAGGTTTCTAAATTAAGATTGCTAATTAATGTGAGCTCAAATGAACAAAATATATCAATAAATTTTAGGAGAAAATACCTAATAAGTTTTAATTTGTCACTTACTCCTCAATTACTTTTGATAGAAAATCCCTAATAATGGTTATTAATTATTTTCAGGGCTCTATATAAATTTCATATTTTTCAAGCGCTTTTTTTTAGTTTTTAGATTTTAGAAGTTGTTATTTGTAATTTTTAATTTTTGCAATGAGCTACTTGTAACATTTAAATTTCCAGGTAGTTCTTTGTATTTTTTAACTTTTATGTCCTTTTGTATTTATCAGAGGTATTTTTTGTAGTTTTAGACTTTTTAGGGGTTTTTGTAATTTGTGTATTTCTAGGAGATCTATTCGTTGTTTTTAGACTTTTCAGGGGGTTATCTAGAACTTTTAGAATTTAAAGGTGATTGTTAGTAATTTTTATATTTTTTGGGGGTTATCTATAATTTTTACAATTTAAAGAATTTTTTTGTATTTTTTTATTTTTGGGGTTAAGTGCAAAAAATTAAAATATTTTTGTCATTTGCTAAAATTCTTAAACTTATGGGGAATTTTAAAATGTTTGCTAGCTTAATGGCAAATGGCTAAACTTCTTAGAAGTTTGGTGAAATTTACTTTTAAAAAAAAATCAAGAAGAGCAATATGGAAATTGTTTAAAATGTAAGGCTAATACTAAACCACTAATACTTTCTTCATTTGTATGTATGTATATATGTATAGAACATAATAAAAAATATGATTACTAGATTTTATTATAGATAATTTAAATTAAAAATATAATTATTAACTTTTTAATTATTAAAATTTTGACTATCATTAAAATTTTCTAATTATAGATGAATTTAATTTGATGAGAATTGTAATTATAGATAGATTTAATTTGGTGAGAATTCTATTCTAATTACAAATAGAAAATAAACCATATACATAATAATTCTAATTTAGTGCTAGAAAATTTCAATTAAATATTTTTATATTTGATTGCAGCTCAAGTGGTCAGGATCAGGGAAGGTAGAACTTGGAAGCAAATGGAAAATTTACCATAAAATCTTTATATAATTTTTTGATTGATGGTTGTATGAGAGTAGCTTTTTGTTATGTCTGGAAAATTAGAATTGAAGATTAAAATGTTAGTTTGGTTGGCTTTATAGGAGAAGTTAAAAAAATGACTGTTGCCTTAAAATGTCCAAGTTAATCCTAACTGTGTGCCTATGTTGTCAATGTGTGGAACTCAATCTGTTTTAATTTCAGAATTTTTTTAATCCTGGTAATCTAATGGGTATATGGATTCATTAGAGAAGATCTAGACTAAGGGGTGATCAGAGGAAGAATTGGGATCTATACTTTTGTGCTTTAATCTAATGTATATGGGAAGAAAGTAGAAGGAAAATCTTTTCACATAAACACTCACACATATGAGCAATCTGCAAGAAGATTATTATTATTATTATTATTATTTGTTACCTTTTGGTTAAATTTTTTGTTTCCTTTTTTTATTGAAACAATAAGCAGGGTGAGATACCCTACTCCTAGATATATGAATATATATTAAAAAGGATAACAAGTAGCTGTTACAAATTGACAATCTGACAAAATTTAAAAGTAAAAAGAGATCAGAGGAAGATATAGGGAGTGAGGAGCGGACCTTGTCGTCACCCACTCACTAATAGCTTCCACGATATCAAAAACTCCTAGTATCAACCCAAAATATCTCTGAACCTAAAACTGAAACCAACGAAGACAGAGCTGATGAAAAACAAGAGCACGTTGATGATGCCAAAAAACAAAAGAATTCCTACACAAAAGAGAGGGCAGAGAAAGAGAACAGCCCTCAGCTACCCTCTATGAAGTTATCACCTACTACATCCTCCGCTCCCCCACTGACCAGATTGTTCAAACCAAGATCAATTGTCGCCTTGTGCTGTCTCTATGCTTTTCTGATACTCATAGCACCTGTCTAGAACAATATAAATTTGGCAACATTAGAAGCAATCAGCTGGGGGTTCACTGCTTTATCATCGAAAACAAGTTTGTTTCTACAGCTCCAAGTACACTAGCAAAAGGTAGGAAGAAGAACCCTCTACAGAATTTTGATATTACAGCAGCTCAAGAAGTTGTCCTTCAAGGTCATTAGTGAAACCACATACTGAGGCCAAGAGGCAATAGAGACTTGGGGGAGAAGGATAGACTATGCAGCTCTAGAAATAGGACAAGAGAAGAAGAGGTGAACCTAAGTTTCAGGTAGCTGATTGCAAAGAGGGCAATTTAGATTACCAGTCCACCCTTTCTTAGCTAAGTCATCTACTGGAGTCTTTCTTTGCTGAAAATCCAGAAAAAAAACCTTCACTTTGGCCGGAATTGGAGAGTTCCAGATAAATCTGAAAAGGGGAGAGTGGATACCTCCGCTGATGAGGAGAGAATAGAAAGATTTGACGGTGAACATAACTGAAGGATTATGAGGCCACCACAAAGAATCCTGAAGAGGAGAAACATTCGGCTGAAAGCCTTGAATGAAAGAAAGGAGATTTGTTATATTAGATTTATCCTCATCGGTGCTGCCTCTTCTAAGAATAGGTTGCCACCTCCAGAAGTTATGATGCAAAATACCTTAAGAACGGACAGTACGTATACGAGAGAAGGTGAGAAGATGAGCTCTGGGAAATAAGCTACTAAGAGAATTTTCACCTGTCCATCTATCATTCCAGAAATTACATGTAAGACCACTACCTAAATTCCAACAGGCATGGCTGAAGAAGGTGGATTGAATAGAATATAGATCCTTGAATAATTTTGAGGCAAAACACTTAGGAGGCAAGAAAATGGGTTAGAGTTGTTAGCTGAATAAAGAGAGAAGAAGACTCTGCTGATGAAAGAGTCCCTATCAAAAATTTTCCATAACCACTTAGAAAGGAGGGCTTGGTTAAAGACATGGAGATTGGTAACCCCTAAACCTCCTTCCCTCTTAGGTCTGCAGACAGAACTCCATCTGACCAAACATTTAGTGTTTGATGTCTGCTGTTGACCTCCCCAAAGGAACTTTCTCCTAATTTTGTCAATCTCTTTGATGATACCAGATGGCAACTTGAAAAAGGTCATGTAGTATAAGGGAAGGGAGGAGAGGACATAGTTGATCAGCGTTGAGTCTCCACCTATGGAGAGGTTTTTATCTATCCATAGGGCAAGTTTTTTTGAGAAATAGTCAAAATAAGCAGTTGCCACTCACGCCTAGAGAGAGAGAGAGACTCTTTTAAGAGGAAGGCCAAGGTAAAAGAAGGGTAGAGAGCAGCTGGATAGTTGAGGATATCAGCTAATTGAGAGTCTTTGTTTGAGGTTTTGCCTAGGTAAAATAGGCTGGACTTGGAGTAGTTAATATTGAGACCAGAGATGCTTGCATAGATAAGAAGAACAGCTTGTTGGCCTCTTTGTTTT